GCTTGTCTCGGACAAGCTGCCCCTGTCGCAGGAGGCCCTAGATCTGGTTGCAGCCGCAGACATGTTCTTCTTGTCGAGCACAAATGGGGTCACAATGGATACAAATCATCGCGGAGGAAGTCCTGGGTTCATGAGGATCATCAAGAACGAAGACGATGGGTTGGAACTGATATATCCAGAGTGTGAGTTTGATATTTCTATATTATGAACAACGCTAATGAAGTATCAGTCTCCGGCAATAGACTATATCAAACACTCGGCAACTTCAGAGTGAATCCACTGGTTGGCATCGCTATTCCAGATTACAACACAGCCAACGTTCTTTACGCCACAGGCAGCGCATCAATACTTGTTGGCGATGAGGCTTCTTCCTATCTTGCAAGAACAAAACTTGCGGTCAAGATCTCAATTACTGCCGCAAAGTTCGTCAAGTCGGGACTGCCTTTCCGAGGTGCACTGGGCGAGTACTCGCCTTACAACCCTCCTGTCCGTCACTTGCTCTCAGAACATGATGCACATATTGCCGAGGCCTCATCTAATGGTATCATGGCAAGCTTGACTAAGCGTGAAGTTCTTACGCCGTCAATTGATCGATACACCTTTGAGCTCTCTTCGACACAGCCTATCAATGCATGGCATGCAGGACAGTACATCACCTTGGACTTTGAGCAGGAAGTGTCGAATGGCTACAGTCATATGGCCGATCACGATCCTCAAAGTATCAACGATGACTATGTCAGAACGTTCACTGTGTCAAGCCCACCAGACAACAATAAAGAGGTACAAATCACAACGAGGAAACATGGTCCGGTAACGAACTTCCTTAGAAAGCACAATCCTCGTGTGCCTTTGGAGATACCAGTGATTGGCTTTGGCGGCGAAGAGGGTTTCCGCATCCCTTTGGAATCAAATGGCCCTCAATCTGTCTTTATCACCGCTGGTGTTGGAATTACGCCTGTGCTTGCACAAGCACCAGCTGTACTTCAACACAAAGCTCCATTTGCCCTGCTCTGGACTCTACGCTACGAAGACTTACCACTCGCGAGTGACACGTTCATAAGAACTCCAGGGCTATCAAATGTGACTACACTCTTCCTCACTGGTCAACCGGACAAGGAGGACTTGCTGGATGACGCCGAGCGGGCTGGGACACGGGTAGTAAAGCGACGAATAGGCGCTGATGATGTCGAGAGGTTCAAGGGCCAAAACGCCCGTTTCTTTCTGTGCACAGCACCAGCTCTGCTGGCTGCTCTAGAAGGCTGGTTGCTGGGAGAGAAGGTTGTCTGGGAAGACTTTGGATATTAAGGACTGTAGCATACAAATCGAAGTACTTTCATGCTTCCCTGGGAACATGTCTCAGACCTCGGCCCGCCGGAGGTTCATGTTAGCTTACGGCGGTGCAAAGGACAGTTAAAGAAGTACCGTAGGGTCAAACCCCATGTTCCCTGAAGTTTGCCTCTAGTTGCGGGGAGCGTTCCACTGCCGAGTTAGTCAAGTCTGGGGTTGAGGAGAAGAGCTCAGCTTCTTGAATTGGACTTGATGTCCATCAGCCTCTCGCCGAGAGCATAGGTAGACCTGGCAAAGCAGATCAACGCCGCGTATGTCAAATCATCAAATGAAACAAAACTGGGCTATCCTACGAGAATCTCCTGGATCGAGAATAAATTGGTAAAGGCTACCTCTGTAGTCATCTAATCTAATGAACTCGTTTCCCCGCAAACATGCTCGGGAACCGGGAGTTACGCTTTGTCCCACACCCGATGCGGATCCGCACTTGGCTTCTTTATATATGGCGGAGAGACTTATAAATCTAATATTATTAAGCTCAAGTGGAAGGTTTGGCTTTTCCTTGATCTGGCTAACAGTGAATGAAGGTCTCGGGGTCCGAAAAGGTGTGAGAGATATCCCTTGTAAATTTCGTCCACTTGGGCATAGAGTAAGGCCAAACTTCTAACCTTGTGAGCAAATGCGCCTGATCGTAGAACTTTATAGCCTCTTATGTATGAGAAAACCCAGGTTGTAATAGGCTGTCACGGTGTCTTTCATCTTTTCTCTCATACAGTAACTAGGAGGGTTCTCATAATTCTCAGAAACGCCACCACGAACCAAGAGAGTCTGAAAGTGAAAACTTCTACTATGAATTGCCCCAATTGTTGACCCCTGGTGGATATCCTCTTTCCAATGGTCCCGAAGTCGCTCAAAGCGGTTCTTCTTGTTGACATGTCCTCCCAGAAACAGCAGGCTTCAAGTCACTGCCCTGTGTCTCGACTATATCCATACGAATGGTTTCCCCCCCAAGAACAGCAAGATATCTCTATTTCCTCGGATGAAATATTGACAGTGATGACACCGAGTTTCCGAGGATTTGCAAGCTGGTCCGCTGTCGGCGCAAGGAAATGCGATTCCGGACCCCCATCACTCGCTCACCTAAAACGGACAGGCTAAAATGAATCCATTGCAGCACTATCGTGGCAGAAAGGAGCTCCAAGCCGGGGGCACAGTGGACCTCTTTCGACTCCCTCCAAAAGTATCAATTGGTCCGCTAAGTAACTCAGAGACATGTGCGTTTTCTCGGCGTCTGACTAGTATCGAGGCGAGCTGTCGTTTGAAACCGTCTGGCCAAAAGAGAAAATACCTGGTGTTAATACCAATTCTTGGCGTGGAATATTATTGTTGGTGACTTTCGATAGTTCAGCTATGGATTTAAGGAAAAGATCGAGCTCATGTTAGGACTTGGCTGAAGGCACAGGAAGTCCATTTTGACTCTACAGCTTCTATCGTCTCTTGAGAATGAGACTGGTGGTTCGATGGCAATCAAAATAGCAAAAAACTAGTTAATGTCGTTGAGGTTTCTCCTACTTCTCCGCCGAGGGCACGATATGTACGTAAATTATGCATATTCTTAGGAGACCATGATCTGATTTTCCCTCTAAAGTCACAGCATGCAAACTGGCTGTGCTAAATTTGAGAAGCGGTGCATTTTTGAATCACGAGTCAACAGTACAACGCCGTTGAGAATGGTGGAGAAAGCTCGTTTGGAGCTCCAAGCACATCCATGTTTATATGCCCCAGGGATGAGCGTGGAGTCAGCTGCAGCAATAGAGCTTTGACTATATAATAAGTTGCTGTTTGAGAGATTTAATGGATAATAATCTCAGTGCTGATCGTGGCGGCTCAAGACACCGCCGGCTCAACTTACTAAAGATCACACAGTTATGCCAATCATTTATGTAATTGTCAATCGAGAAACCTTCAGCGTAGGAGTTCTGACAATCAAAGATAGCTAGAGTCACCCCGCATTTCCTGACAGGGATTGGAGAAAGTGATTGTCGTCGGTATGCAATCTGATTGATTCATGGTGCTTACAAAGACATATTCGTGGCAGAGCAATGAAGTCAGACTAAAAGACAGGCCAATCTCTGAGAATGGCAAACTCCGGTCAGTTGTAAACGGAGCAGATCATCATAGCACGCCGAGATATCTTGCTTTGAGTTTGGTCTGCATGTTGAAGATTTACGGGAGCTATGATTTGTAGCTGTACGGTTCATAACCATGCTGATTTTCCTATTGAGAGCTATCGGCGTGCAACACAGCTCCAGAGACCAATGCGATGAGCTTCGGTTTTAAGACAGACCAAGGCCGACGATGCAACTTTGCAGGGAACCTATTGGTGCTACCGTAGAGCTTAGGTTCATGCTGCTGCTACTGATGTCCCTCTGTCCCTGTATCACGTTCCCTCGAGCCGGCTTGGTGGAGTGGCTCAGATCGCCGTCGTCATACCCCGCCACTAAGAGTTAGAACGTGAATGATTTAGTGAGTAATCAAGACTTCCTTTGAAGCGAGCAAGTCCAAGCATGGGTGAAGATTAGAGAGAGAGAGAGAGAGAGAGAGAGAGAGAGAGAGAGAGAGAGAGAGAAAGCCTCAAAGAGTTGGATGGTAAGGGAATCGTGGCACAAATGGAGGTTCCCAGTGTTGTAGTTTATGGGAATTGGGAACGAGCCAATGGGGGAAACTAACCATTCCAGGCGTCACCAGGTGTAAAATCTTCAACAGCCAGAGCAAAACAATTGCAACACAACAAAAACAGTGGCTTTGTTGCACTCCACTGAGGTTGATGGCGTGCGAATGGTGCGTCAAAGGCCTGGACTTTCGTATTTTGTGGGTGCTTGTGCGTTCAATACCTCGCATGGGGGTTGAGTTACCTACTGGCAGGCTTAGTAGGTACCGTACCTAAGGTAAGGTAGGTAGGATGTCCAAGATTCGTGACTGGGGTGTTCGAATGCCTTCGGACTCTTTAGCAGACCTGAATCTGACCTACCACAATGCTCAGCACAGGAGTCTATTCCCTCTGTAGTCCCACATTGTCCCTTGCTAGGCAATGGATCTCGGCGCACGCGCAGCCCAGCACTTGCCCACCATCCTTTGCCTATGCCTGCCTGCCCTGCCTGGAGACTTGAATCCAATTCTCGCAGAAGGGCCGTAAGGAAAACCTTCTTTCTTCTACTTTAACTTCCCTCTTCCATCTTCTTCTCTATTCCCGTCCACACGAACACTCTCACTCATTCACTTACACGACCCCTCTCTATACGCCAAAAGCCTCAACTCAATAAGCGATAATACCTGCGAAACTCTTACTGTATCATCATAATACGTGCAATACTTGCTGATTTCGGAACCCCCGCCATCGCCGCCCGCCTATCCATTTCGCCAGACTTGCGCAGTATTAAGTCAAACAACAATCGCAAAGTTGCCACATCTCTATTTCGACCGTCTCCTGATAATCTCGACGACTTCAATCACCGCGACTAGTCGAATCTGCCCATTTTCAAAAAGTCGGTCGTAATTCGGTCTCTGCGCCGATACTGCCGTGCCCCTCGCTTCCGTTCGCCGTCAACTACCGGCGCCGGCCGCTGTTGCTCATCGGATCGCGAAACCCCTCGTTCCGCTCAACCCGCCACTCTCATCTCAGAAACCGATATCAACACACAACAACAGTCGAAATGGCTTGCGACTACCAATACGTTAAGGAGCACACGAGGGAGGATTATGTCTTTCCCTCGCACCGCTTCCAGCAATCATGCCCTCCAGACAAAACTCCGCTATGTCTCGTTGCTTGCGGCTCTTTCAGCCCAATCACGTATCTCCAGTAAGCTTACCCTCATGATTCTGGCTCTTTTGGCAGATCATCCGATCAAGATCGATGCTCTCGATAATTGAGCAATCATGAAATTTGTCAATATTTGGACAAGCATTCGCTGACTTATGAGCAGCCTTCGGATGTTCCCCATGGCTCGGGACCATGCTCACAATGAGAGTAGGTTGCGCGCTCATTGCTTCTGAAGCATCGCTGACATGATCAGATTTCGAAGTTGTTGCAGGTTTTTTGAGTCCTGGTAAGTGAATATCCTACCATATGAAACATACCTGAACTAACCAGATATCAGTCAGCGATGCCTACAAAAAGAAGGGCCTTGCTCCTGCTCATCATCGGATTGAGATGTGTAGGCTTGCGACCGAAAACAGCTCTAAGTGGCTAATGGTCGACCCCTGGGAAGCTGAGAGCCCAACTTACATCCCAACTGCCAAAGTGCTTGATCACTTTGACTATGAGATCAACGAGGTCATGGGCGGTGTTGAATGCACTGACGGAACTCGAAAGCGCTGCCGCATTGTGCTTCTTGCTGGCCTCGATCTAATCCAGACCATGTCGACTCCTGGGGTGTGGGATGAACGTGACCTTGACCACATCCTGGGCAACTATGGCGTTTTTGCTTTGGAGCGTACAGGAACTGAAATTGATTCAACCCTGGCAAATCTGAAGCAATGGGAGAAGAATATTCACATAATTCGTCAGGTATGTTGTTCGAATCATTGTGCCGGTATTGTGATACTAACGATAGCACAGGTCGTTACCAATGACATCAGTAGCACCAAGATTCGCCTATTACTCAAACGTAACATGTCGATTGACTACTTGATTCCTGATCTTGTAGTGAGTTACATTTTCGAGAATAATCTTTATCGCGATCTCGATATGCCGGACTCGAAGGGCAAGGAGAACGCCATCACGAATGGGCCCGATGCCGGCACCAGCACTGGTTGATTATCTCCGTCATTGCGGTAAAAGATAGAATCAGTACCTCACCCAGACATCAGTCCCGATACAGCTGCCGAGCTTTGAGCATGGTAACCGAATCATTGAGAGCTCACGACATAAAGACCAGAGCCCAGGCTGTGAACGAGAACAGCTTCTGATCTGATGTTTGAGTCGTTGCGATTTTCAGGGTCAAAGGATCAATGTTAGTCATCGCAATGGACCACAATGATTGAGTTGTCCTAAATGCATCGAGTGTGGAATACAGAAGAGAAGGCGTGGTGATGAGGAGGTGGACTATTCACTTTCCTTAATGACAGGACGTCGCTCTTGACGCAGCCTGCTTTGTATTAGCGGTTGGATAGAGCGCACTTTTGAGCGGAGATATTTCCATCAATTGAGGCATACAAAGACGGGGCATCCCGCTATCTTGCGCCCAATCTGTTACTATCCATGCCTGGCAACTCGCCGGGTTCGTCGGAGGTCTCCGACTACTGATATGCACGTGTCCTAGAGATTGAGGACAAATTGTAGGTCTTTAATTGGAGTTACCTCGGCCCGCTTCGATAGTCTTGTTTTGTTGCCTTGGTTTAAAAAGAGCCTTAAGTTTAAGCTTGTTGGCTGGCAAGCCATGATTTTATAGAGAGCCAGTCGGGTAGCCGACATATGGAGTTTGAGCTGGACAGATACCCGTTCACATCATTGGGACCAATGATCCAATTTATTGTTTTTCAATGGCTGTGGCCTGGAACCTGAGTGATTTCGTTTGGACGAATAATAAATCAACTGCCGCAATTCCTACAAGCTGCCAAGTCTTCCGTCCTTTGACGGACGGAAGATAGCTCCCTGAGACAATATCTCCGGCTCCTTCTTTCTCTGGCAAGATTGCACGAGGACAAAGCCAACCAATGAGTGTTTCCAATCTGTTGATGATTTACAGGGGCCAAGACGAAAGAGCAACAAGGCCTCCAAAGCTACAAAAGGGACCTGCAAAAAAGGGCAAAGCGTGAACCCCCCCGCGGTCGCACAACCGACGCTGACTGGCCACCTCCGATTTGGCGCATAGATAAACGTGCCAGATCGATAGGGCATTTGGAGGCTTGGCGGCGATACTGGACGGTTATGGCCATGGCAAATTATATGGATAGACCTTTTGCCAAGGGGAGAGAACTCAGCGCGGAATCGATTTCGGTGACCTTTTGGGTCTTTTGCGCCGGGGCCAAATTGGAGTAGACCCAGGATAGGTAGGTAACCCAAGTCTTAAAGGCTATCGTGAATACAAATAGCTGAGGACGGCCCTGTCGATCTTTCCCTGAGAGCAGGGCAGTTCAAGTGTTTCTCAACTCATCTTCATCATGAAGCTTCAATTCCTCGTCTCTTCCCTCATCAGCCCTCTGGCTGCGGCGTTGACTATTGCTGAGATCAATGGCAACAGCTATCTCTCTTCCTACGCTGGCAAGAATGTCACTGGTGTAGAGGGCCTCGTCACGGCTGTTGGCAGCTCTGGCTTTTATCTGCGATCAACTAAGCCTGATCGTAACTCAGCTACTTCCGAGGGACTGTACATCTTTGGCAAGTCGGCTGTGAGCAGCGTCTCCGTGGGAGATGTCGTCACACTTGATGGTCTCGTTGAGGAGTACAGGTGAGTTTCATTAACTCAAGCATGAATCATTGCTAACATAGTCAGGTCCAACAAAGACTATGTCTATCTCACTGAGATCTCTTCTCCCAAGAACATTGTTGTAAAGTCCTCTGACAACAAATTCAAGCCCAAGGTTATTGGCAAGGACACCGGTAACCCTCCTGGAAAGCAATTCTCCAAGCTTGATGACGGCAATGTTTTTGCTGTTCCTAACAACGAGTCTCTCATTTCGGTGTCCAACCCCAAGCTACAGCCTAACACATACGGTCTTGACTTTTGGGAGAGCCTGGTTGGTGAGCTTGTTACTGTCCCTAAGGCGTATGCTCTCAGCCGACCCAACAACTTTGGCGATTTCTGGGTCCGGGGCAACTGGAAGGTTTCTGGTCTGAACAAGCACGGTGGTCTTACCATGGTCGGCAGCGGTATGTCAAGCCTCAATCTGAAGTGCTTCCTTGGCTAACAATCTAGATGCTAACCCTGAGGCCATCATCATCGGCTCACCACTCGATGGCACCAAGAACCCTAGTGACACTAAGCTCGGCGACTATGTTGGTGACATCACTGGCGTGGTCTCCTACGCCTTTGGCTTCTATCGCATTCTTCCCCTGACTGCCACCAAGGTCAGCAAGCCTTCCAACGCTGAACACCCTGCTGTCAGCTTCACCAGCAAGGGATCTTGCAAGGGCATCACAGTTGCAGACTATAACACCGAGAACCTCAACCCTGCGTCTGCTCACTTGCCTCTCGTCATCAAGCAGATCGTTGAGAAGTTGCGAACACCTGACCTACTTTTCCTCCAGGAAGTTCAGGACAACAGTGGCGCTACCAATGATGGTGTTGTTTCCGCCAACCAGACTCTCGCTGCTCTGGCCGATGGCATCGAGGAGTCCAGCGGTGTTGTTTACGAGTGGGCCGAGGTCGAGCCTGACAACAACGAGGATGGCGGTCAGCCCGGTGGTAACATTCGCCAAGCCTATCTCTACCGTCCTGATAGAGTTGAGCTCGTTAAGCCCAATCAAGGCGGCCCTAACGACGTCAACGCCGTTGTCGATGGTCCATCACTCAAGTACAACCCTGGACGAATTGACCCTGCCAACCCTGCCTGGGATGACAGCCGCAAGCCTCTTGTGGCTGAGTGGAAGCCTGTCAAGGGTACAAAGAAGTCCTTCTTTACTGTCAACGTCCACTTTGGCAGTAAGGGTGGCTCGACTTCCCTGCATGGCGATGCTCGCACTCCCGTGAACAAGGGTGTCGAGAAACGCACCAAGCAATCCGAAATTACTGCTGTAAGTATGAATCCCCATTATGCATAAAATCCATCTGACAACTTGTAGAACTTTATTGCAGAGATCCTCAAGAAGGACAAAAAGGCTCACGTCATTGCCGCCGGTGACTTTAACGAATTTGCCGCCGTTGCACCCCTCCAGACTTTCGTCAAGACATCCGGTCTTGTTGATGTTGATGAGGCTGCCAAGATCCCTGAGACAGAGCGATACACATATCTCTTTGACAGCAACTGCCAGGCTCTGGATCATATGTATATCAGCAAGGAGTTGCGCAGGAGCATCAAGTATGAGCATCTGCATATCAACACTTGGCAGAACACGGCTGGTGAGGTCAGCGATCACGACCCTAGTGTTGCTATGTTTGATCTGTGTTAGATGAAATGATAAAGTATATGATTATATAAATAGGCAGTTAGATCCGCTTGCATCATCCCTAAACATAGATTTTACCAAATGGGTGTATCATGGCCATGGGTTTTGACTAGTCCTCGCTACTGTCTTCGTCATTGTTAGGTTCTTCTTCTCCTTCATCCTCATCTTCGTCACTATCATCATCTTGGCCAGGATCCGGCATAACGATACTATTCAAAAATGACACCTAAGCTTGTCAGCTTGTTCAGCAATGACATTGACACATGACTTACATATCCAACCATAGGGCGTATAATCTCGCTGATCTTCTCCTGGGCATTATCCTGGTAGAAAATGTTGTCGTCTATCTGTGTTCCAACAGTAAAGTTCCTCAACTTCAACAGCGCAATATCACGATGTTCTGCCGTGAAACCTTTTGGCTTAGTTTTAAGCGCGTTCTCCTTGTTCTTTTCCGCAAAAGCAAGTAACGCCGCGTTAGGATCGGATTTGTTGGCAGCTTTTGGCAAGAACGTGCGCTTAAAGGCCTCGTCGTTGAGTGCGCGACGCCATCGATTTGGTCGTTCGTCAATGCTTGCGCGGAGTTTCTGCATTTGGTCGCCACTGGGACACCATAGCCCACCACCGATGAAAGACCTTTTAGGCTCACAGTGGATATAGTAACAGGCGTACGGGCCTTTGCGACCAGTTCGAGACCACGCAGCGGAGAAGTGAGGCTATAACTTTAGCTTTTCCTACTGTACTTTGGATCAATTGGGTTCGTACCTTGTATGGTGTAGGATCTTTACTGAAACGAATGTCTCTATGGATTCGAAAAATGACGTCTTTGATGGGAAGCTCGGGAATCGTTTCATCAGCTGCCATAACAGTCTCGGATGCGCATTCAACAAAGGAGTTCCAATCCTTCAACGCGCGACGATATTCTCCATCATGCGCTGTACATGTCAGTAATGATTTAACAATGAGTGAAGGTCGGCTTCTTACACTTCAGCCAAGGTCTCTGGTTGTGGGCTTTGAGGTCTCGCAAGAACAACATTGTATTCTTGTGTAATTTGAAATCTTCATACTCTACACCATCCGTGTCTCTCAACTTCTCCAATGGAATGATAGTAACTTTTGGGGGCGCATCCTCGTCATCATCATCCTCCTCCTCTTCTTCTTCTGGTTCCTGCGCTAGCTCATCTTCGTAGGGCTCTTCGGATTCTTCTTTCTTGGGCTGCTTCTTTGGCGGTCTCCCACGCTTCTTTGGCGGCGGTACATCACTTTCTTCTGTATCCTCACTGCCTTCGAAGTATTGACTTTTAGTGGTGGAAACCCTCCTCGAGCTTCGCCGACTGCTGGTGATTTCCTCTGCGGGACGCTTTCGAGGTGGCATGTTGCAAATGCCGTGGTTCTGGCAATGAAAGGGTTGAATGCTAGTGCCACTAGTGGTGTCAATGGATATTCTTGAACAGAGACAAGAAGGCCATGTCGTCATTCGCATTATCGCGCCTGCCGACGCGATTCGAGACGCGAGTTCACGTGAGTCAATAGAAGAGTCACGTGGCAATAGTAGGATGCGTACGTCCATGTACTTGTTCTTGTTTCCCCATGTCACAGAGACATATTACTTAGGTCTCTGCCAATACAAGTCATATGATACTTCAGAAAACAAGCAATCTTTCAATTCAGACACTATATCGTCTTCGTTTTCGGTCTTATGAATGATCTCG